GTTCTATTTTAGTTTGGGGTACAGACTCAAAGACTGATGCTTTAAATATATGTAAAAAGTAAATAAAATCTATTAAATAATAAACAACACATTAAGAATCAAAATGTGTTGGTTTGTTTTAAATAAGACACACATAGCGTTTTCTTTAGCTAGCTTTGGCTGTGCTCCTTATTTACTCCTGGCTGGGGAGGGTTAACTCCGAGGTAACTTTGAGTCAAGAAGGGTGTGTTGGTTTTACCCCAATCCTGTTGTCTCATAGGGAGAATCTCTGGCATGAGCTTGAAAGTCATGAGCAATCTTTTTAAGATTAGTTTATATCCACAAGTCACAGAGGACAACTGTGTCTTTGTCAGATTTCTGTTGGCGTCAGTGGTGAGTTTTAGCACTGCCTCTCGGGGAAAGCACATTCTTCCTCCTACTCAGTCCAAAAACCTTAGATCTTTCTGTTTCTTCTTCTTCTGAATGACAGTATCTCCTCTTCCTTCCTCTAGCCCTGCTAATTAGCTGTGGCCTCTTTACTTCATCAGATGTGTTATTCTCACTCCTGTGGACACATACAGGCTGCACGATCTGTATCTGACAAAGAACACGTCACCTATGGAATTCCAAGCATGTTGAACTGTGGCATTCCAGGTGTGTGGGTGTCAGGTTTCTTTGTTATCATATAATTTATTTAACAAAGAAGAAAAGGAAAAACTGAAAGTGTCTCTTCAAACTAAAGTCACTGACAAAAAGCCCTTGTTTTTATTAGGCTATGAAATCACACCAAGCCACTAAAAATGTCAGCATACTGGTCCTTTTAGACCTTTTTACATTTCAGTCACCTTCTCTGTTCTGTCTTTCTCTTGATGTTTCTCTTTCTCTGGCCCTACACACACACACACACACACACACTGTGATCCATCACCGCCTTGTTTGTTCACGCTGCTGCTGGAGGCTCACCTCTGCTCTGACTGACGCATGCTCACAGCCTCGCTCCACCTCTTCCCGCGGTCCCCATGGTAACGCATGGAGGAGAGCAGCTTAGCAACACGGAGACGGAGAGGGAGCATCTCTGGTCCAGACAGCGCGTTGCCATCAGTATTACACGAAAGGGCGACAAAAGGAAAAGAGCAGCGTCTATAAAAGACATCTTCTCTGCGTAAGTGCCACATTTTAACAGCAAACATCAGTTCTATTAGATAAATTGGAAAGTCAGGCTGGATTTTGTTGATCGACTAACTAGATTAGTGATTACTATACACGGATGGTGCAGTCAGTCTTCCGACAATGCTGCTGAACTGATGCTGCTCTCTAGCTGCAGCCTGTTTCAGGCTCGGAAAACACGATATTTTTCTGTTTCCAGTTGTTTGTGCATGTCAATTTTTTTCTGAATCGTATTTTTTTGCAGTCTCCACAGTCATAATGAAGTTTGTGGTGGTGCTTGTGGGAGCGGGCACTCTGGCCTTCCTCGGCGCGGTCATCTGCATCATCGCCAGTGTTTATCCCCGGAAACGCGCTGCGCCTCTCAGCGACAACAGCACACTGACACCGGACACGCTGCTCCAGCCCCTGGAGCATGGATCGATGGCTCACGCCGGGCCGCTGGGCGCTCTGCACGGCGCAAAGTCCTACGATGGGGGGAACGGGCTCGACGGCATCGGGCTGGAAGTTCCCACTCTGAACGAGCTCAATCTCGGAGAGGAGACCGATGGAGGGTCCGCGAAACAGTTCAGCTTCAGCAGGTTGATTTGCACACCTGTACAGGTGGGAGAATGCAAGAGCAAAGATCTGAGGCAGCGACGGGAGCAGGCGGACGAGCCGCTGTACGGAGCCGGGGACGAGGACTGGAGTTATTGGAACGGGCTCGACGGCATCGGGCTGGAAGTTCCCACTCTGAACGAGCTCAATCTCGGAGAGGAGACCGATGGAGGGTCCGCGAAACAGTTCAGCTTCAGCAGGTTGATTTGCACACCTGTACAGGTGGGAGAATGCAAGAGCAAAGATCTGAGGCAGCGACGGGAGCAGGCGGACGAGCCGCTGTACGGAGCCGGGAACGAGGACTGGAGTTATCTCCGGACCACCGCGGAGGAGCTTCGGCAGGTGGTCCTGCAGCAGAACGACCAGATCCTCATGGACCAGAGAACAATTCGGGAGTTGACCGGGAAGCTGAATGAGTGTGAGAGCGGCCTGGAAGACGAAAGGAGCGTCCCGGAGCGGAGCATCGGCGTCTGGAGCGGCAACCGCCGCATCATGGCCGGAGATGATGTGAGCTCTTCGGCCGCGGCGCAGCTGCAGACGGCGCGGGCTGTGGAGGAGCTGGCCAGGGCCATCATGGACCTGAAGGACCGCATCGAGAAACTCGAGGTAGGCTAAGTGGAAAGACACTGAGCCCCAGGCAGACTATTTACCCTTCTGCTGGAGTTTGGCTTCACAGCAGGAAATTGGAGTAATACCAAAAATACATAGCCAGGTGAGACGCTGCTGTTCAGGGCTATATTAGGCCTGTGTTTGACCCATTAAACCGCCAGTTGTCCCCGCTGTAGGTCGACATCCACTGATGTGCAGTTTTGCTGCAAAAAGTGGAGGAACAGTAAAATTCCTTTTTTACTTTATCAAAAGTAAAAGATTCTGCAGATCATGCAGCCGCACTTGCTGCATACAGAAACAATGGCACGGAGTGAGCATCTTAGGTGCTGTGCTCTCTTTGTATCTCCCTCCCCATCTTTATCCTTGTCTCCCTCTTTTATCTTCATCTCACCTTTCCTCTGGCAAGTGACTCCTGAGACAGGCGCTCCTGTTGTCTTGCGCTCAGCGCCCATCCCCAGGGCGTCTGCTGCTTACCCTTCACCTCCACATCCAACAGCAGGATAGAGGCATAAATAAAAGATGAAGCTGGCTGGACAGGAAAGAGAGTGGTTGTGGTGTTGGCGGTGGGGGCTTATAACCACACATACACACTCCTGCATTGCTTCCAAGCCTTTTCAAGCACAGTCACTGACTAGGTTGCATGTGTCAGTGTATATTTATATACAGTAGTCTTGGTCCAGTCCTGTCTCAGCAACTCTCTCTCTGATATTAAATCTCTCCCTCCCGGCCATGTCATCTACACCAACGCTCTCTTTACTGCAGCTTCATCAAATAACTTCTTTTTTTAAACATCTGTTATGGATACTAATGCTGCCATTGGTGTGCTACTATTATCACTACTCTTGCCACGTTGCTGTTTTATCATTTTACTCCTCTTTCTGCCATTTCTTCCTGCACCACTGTGACTATTTTTGCTACTGCTAAGAAGACAGCAGTGATCTATACTTAATTTTTTTTTAAATTTCTCTAGGGAGCAAGCAGCCAGAAACAAAGATCCACACGTTTCATGAACATATAGTATGTAGACCAGCTGTCTACTTTGCTTGCTTATCTGGTTAAACCAAGTAGCCTACTGGACACGTTTAAATTGTGACCTGATGATTGTGTATGATAGAGAAGGGATCACCACAGTTAGTAGGATTTATCTTCTGTGGAAAATTATGGTTTGTACAAAAACGGATGGATTTTGTTGTCTGATCAACTCATTTTCTATTTCATTTACTACTTCTACTACAAAAACTGTCACCACTACTGCTATGATTACTCTCAGCCTCGGATGCTTCCATTAGGAACAGATTAGTTGTTTTCTTTTCCCATATATTACAACTTCTTTCTCCATCTCTCCTTGATTGTTTTTAATCATTTAGGCTTCAAACACCTACTTTACTCTCTTTTCTCTGTCCTTTTCCTGCAGGCAGAGATAGGGCCAGCTGTCTTGAACCTCACTGATACATCTGTGGGTACAAGTAGCAGCAGCAGTGGTGGCAGCAGCCCAGCTCCCGTTCCGTCCACTGGGGGTGCTTCCTCCCCACCTGCAGCAGCTGCCCCAGGGGGGCGCCGTCCTGCCTCCCCCGCTTCCTCTGCTCTCAGGCCCCCAACTAAAGGTTCCCCTGGGCGTGGAAAGGGCACCTGGAGGGTGGAGGACCTGGAGGGAGAACTAGAGAGAAAGATAAAGATGTTGGAGAAGGAGCGTCAGGCCATGAGGAAGGAGACACAGGGTCAACATGAGAAGATCAACCAGGACATTGACACTGTCAGCCACCGCGTCACTGAACTGGAACACAGTGAGTCTGGGGGAGAGTGAGGAGGAGAGTAAAGGGGTGGTGGCTGAATAAACTGATACACACAGGGAGGCAAGCAACTGCATCACCAAGCTGACGTACATGAGAGCATCACAAGCAAAGACTAAAATGAAACTTTAATGAGCACTGTGGGCAAACTGGGTCATCTGAGCAGTAGGGAATAGAATAAGGTGATTAGTGAGTGCTGAAGGTTAAGAAATGTCAGATAGGGCCAGGAGATAAAAATAAAATGATACAATTGAAAATGGATTTTTTTTTGGCTGTATACTGTTAAAATTGTCTTCTGTCACAGACAATCATGGTCACTGTCTCAAGGTAAGAAACAGGAAAACAGAAAAGTGTAGAGCTGAGACTATGAGTTCAGGAGCTGTAGCGAGGAAGGTTGAAAGGAAAAGAAAAAGCACTTCTCTGTTCTCATTCTCCCAGCCTCTCTGACTGTCTATTTCTTCTCTGCCTTGAGCACTGTGGCCTCAGGTTAGAGAGGCTGATTATCAGTTGTAACAGTTGAGACTCTTACCAGACATTGTGTGTGCACAAAGTGGCAGGGACAAGTAAGAAGAGAAAAGCCAGTGTTCTTGCACAAATTGGTCATTAAGGCATGTTCTCCAATTTCCTCTCTTTCTGTTTGCATTCTCTCTTCCCGGCTCCGTCTGTGTCTCCAAAGCCCTGTCAGAGCCGTCATTCCCTGATGGCTTCGTCCTTTCCTTCCCCATGAGAACCAACTACATGTACGGCCTGGTGAGAAAAGAGATAACCGAGATGTATGCCTTCACTGCCTGTGTATGGCTGAAGGCCAAAGAAGGAGGCATCGGGACACCCTTTTCCTATTCGGTGCCGGGGCAGCCTAATGAGCTGGTGCTGCTACAGGGCGTCCACAACCCTGTGGAGCTGCTCATCAACGACAAGGTACAGGGGGAATGAAAAAGATTGATGTGGTGTAGTTGTACAAATGGAAAAATCAATTGTGAAATTATGTGTCCTACAAAGTTTATTGTAATCTATCAAGTGAAAGAACCTGCCAAGGAAATCATTACTAGCTATTATGACAAGTAGTTTGTGGCTTGTTGTGGTGTTACAAACCATCCATCCATCCATCCATTTTCCTCCGCTTATCCGGGACCGGGTCGCGGGGGCAGCAGTCTAAGCAAAGATACCCAGACTTCCCTCTCTCCAGACACTTCCTCCAGCTCCTCCGGGGGAATTCCGAGACATAGTCCCTCCAGCGTGTCCTGGGTCTTCCCCTGGGCCTCCTCCCGGTGGGACATGCCCGGAACACCTCCCTAAGAAGGCGCCCAGGAGGCATTCGAAACAGATGCCCGAGCCACCTCAGCTGTCTCCTCTTGATGTGGAGGAGCAGCGGTTCTACTCTGAGCTCCTCCGGGGTGACCGAGCCCCTCACCCTATCTCTAAGGGTGCGCCCGGCCACCCTGCAGAGGAAGCTCATTTCGGCCACCTGTATCCGGGATCTTGCCCTTTCGGTCATGACTCAAAGTTCATGACCATAGGTGAGAGTTGGAATGTAGATTGACCAGTAAATCGAGAGCTTCACCTTACAGCTCAGCTCCTTCTTCACCATGACGGACCGGTACATCGACCGCATTACTGCAGAAGCTGCACCGATCCGCCTGTCAATCTCCCGTTCCATCCTTCCCTCACTCATGAACAAGACCCCAAGATACTTGAACTCCTCCACTCCACAAACCCATTGATTAAAATGAGCAATGAAAACATGTTCATTCTTGTGATGGACTAAATTTTTCATGCAACTGTTCTTATGTAGTAAAGAAAACAAGATGCTCATATGAAAATGACACAGCATCCAGTTAATGTTTCAATCAATATGATGTGTTATAGAGTTTTTTTTTTTTTTTTTTTTACATTTGTGTTTCTCTGCATACACTATAGCCTAAGGTCATAAATCAAAACATTTATTCTCCCAGCAATGTAAAAGTTAGAACTAGGTGAACAGATGCTGCCCTATAGGATGAATAAAAATTGTTATTGGTGTGAGGGCAATCTCCAGTTTTGTTTGTCACAGTTTTAGAAGTGGAGCCCACAGCATATCTTGCTGAGGAGAGACAGTATAGATACAAGCTTTTTCCAGCTGTTATTTGCAGTGACGCTTACCTTTTATAGTGCTTACACGTATAGCTCCCATGGAAGAGGAGTGGGGGGTTGTAACTACGGTGAAAGGAAAGTCTAGACTGTCCATGGGGTGTATTTTTGCTGACCTAAACCATCAGTGTGTCCTCATTTGGCCCTTATTACATGCCCACACTTGTCCAATATCCAGAAATGTAATGCAAGCTTCATGTGTTGTGCGGTAGCTCAGTGGCCATCAAATCACTCATTCACTTTGGGAAGAAAGGTGTAACCTCATCCGCTGTGTGTAGGGGGCGAACCTGCCTCTTCCCCTACCACAAGACGAGTGGCAGCACATCTGTGTCAGCTGGACCCTGAGGGACGGAGTGTGGAAGGCCTACCAGGGTGGAAAGATGAAGGGGAAGGGGGAGGGGCTGGCTGCCTGGCATCCCATCAAACCAGGAGGAGTCCTCATACTGGGACAGGAACAGGTGACACGGATGGTTGGATGGATGGAGAAACTAATCAAAGGATAGACACTGAACAGATGGATGAATGGACTAAAGGATCAATAGGTGGATGGATGACGAGTAACTGGGTGGAAATGGATGGATTAACTGATGAATGCGTGGACATGTGGACTGATGGATAATAAATGTATGGATGGATGAACAGTTTAATGGATTGTGGACAGATGAAGGGAGGAATAGACTGACAAATGAATAAGTAAACTAATGGATGGATGAATAAATGGATGAACAGATGGATGAATGGGCCTATTTGGATGGATAGGTTCATGAACCAATTACAGATGAGGTGAGGGATGGATGCACAAATGAAAGGGCAAACTAATGGATGCATGTGTGGATGATGGAAGAGTGGGCCTATTTTTTAGGTGGTTGATAGGATATGCAAACTTGTGGGTGGATGATCAAAGATGGATGATGGATGATTTAACTGAATGAACAGACAAACATGACAAACAGATGGATGGATGAGCATATTAATGGACAAATGAATTAGCAAACTGATGGATGAATGGACAAATCGATGGTTGTATGAATAGCTAGAGGAACAGGTGGGTGGATGGATGGATGGAGCAGCTTAACAGAGAGCTGGCTGAATGAATGAATGGATCTGTTTGAATGGTTGGATGGATACCAAAACTACTGGATGGGTGAGCAAACTAATAGATGAAATATTGACTGAATAGATGGATGAAATGATACATGGGAAGATGATTGGATGAATAGATTATACTAGGGCAGGAAAAAGTGACAAAATGGATGATGGATGCAATGAAGGATGGGCAGTTACATCAACAAACAGACTGATGGACACATGAATGGACAGAGTTATAAGTGGATGAACAGACTAATGGATAAATGGATGGGTGAATGGATGGACAAGCTAAAGAATGGATGCTGCATGGATGAACAGACTGATGGATGGATGATACATGTATGCATAGGGAGATAAGGAGAGCTATTTTAAGGGAACACTTTAGCCTTTCACACATGGACAGACAGAACTCAAATGGTGCTTATCCTCACAATGGGCTGCCTCATTAGCGAGACACCCACATTACATACAGTACAGTGGGTATGGAAAGTATTCAGACCCCCTTAGATTTTTCACTCTTTGTTATATTGCAGCCATATGCTAAAATCATTTAAGTTCATTTTTTCCTCATTAATGTACACACAGCACCCCATATTGACAGAAAAACACAGCATTTTTGACATTTTTGCAGATTTATTAAAAAAGAAAAACTGAAATATCACATGGTCATAAGTATTCAGACCCTTTGCTGTGACACTCATATATTTAACTTAGGTGCTGTCCATTTCTTCTGATCATCCCTGAGATGGTTCTACACCTTCATTTGAGTCCTGCTGTGTTTGATTATACTGATTGGACGTGATTAGGAAAGCCACACACCTGTCTATATAAGACCCTACAGCTCACAGTGCATGTCAGAGCAAATGAGAATCATGAGGTCAAAGGAACTGCCTGAAGAGCTCAGAGACAGAATTGTGGCAAGGCACAGATCTGGCCAAGGTTACAAAAAAATTTCTGCTGCTCATTCTGCAGACTGTGGTCCTTACATGAAAAATAAAAAGCAGAGAGCTGAGAGTTCAAGATGTGGCACTGATGGAACAATACTTGATCTAATGGATATTTTTAGAGAGAGAGAGAGAGAGAGAGAGAGAGAGTACTACTAATCCATGCTGTTGTTTGAACATGTTGACCAGTCTTGATGGAGAAAATCTTAGGACATCCATGACACAAGGGGGCAACATTTATTTTAAATTTAGTACATGTACTGATATAGTCTATTAAAAGTTTTGATATATATTCCCAGAGATACAAATTTTCGAGATCCAGTCAATTTGTCGTGGGAAGTTTTAGGTACAGTTTCCCACAGCAAATGTGGTTGCTTGCGACTTCTGTCCTGCTAACTGTACCTGTTATGGCCTTTTCTCCAGGACTGTAACAATAACACATAAAAACCGATTCTTTATAGACACACAGTTTCACCCAAGACAACAAAACACAATCACCTTGTTCTTTGTAATCGTTGTCCTGCTCTTGTTTTAGAGGACTTGCGGAGTAAATAACATAACTTCACACAACAACAACAAAATGTTTGCGTGATTGTTCTCCCCATGCCTGTGTGGATTTTCACTGGGTACTCTGGCTTCCATTCTAAAGACATGCAGATTAGGTTAATTGGTGACTCTAAATGGGCCCATGGGGGTGATTTAAGGTATTTGGTGTCAAAACTGTGCCGGACTGCACTGCTCTACTGTGTCAACCCCCCTACATGATGGGGAGCAGCCAAAAAAGAAACAACAGCTGGTGTTTGCTTACTCACTGAATGAACTGTGGTACAAGCTGTACCAGACTCTATGACCAGTCAGTTAGTGTTGCCCCAGTGTTTCTGAGCCATCTGCAAATATGGATGTTTGGTTTCAGAAGTGGAATACTGGGAGGTCATGATTTAAGGAAACTGATATTATAAACATTTTTAACCCTCTCCCTTCAGTTTATGGTGGCGAGAATAAGAGTACACAGTTTAGAGAGATTTTAGTGATACTTGTAGTAAGAAAAGCAGTCCCTGAACTGAACCTTGGAACCACAGCCCAGGATTTCAGTATAAACTCCACTTGCACTGGTTGACATACAGGCACATTCACAGTTTAATGAAAGAGGCCCTGAGTTATAAAAACCGTTCTTGCAGTAGAAAAAGGCTTTTAGATTATTGTAGAACATAATCTGAGCACAGCCTGATCTCTTGGTTATTCATGCTCACATTTTGACATTCAACCTTTTGTCTTTTTCTCCTCCTACGCCAGGATACGGTGGGTGGGCGATTTGACGCCTCCCAGGCCCTGGTTGGGGAGCTCTCGCAGTTCAATCTGTGGGATCGGGTGTTGAAGCCAGCAGAGGTGGCTGCCCTGGCTGAATGCAGCTCCTCTGCACTTGGCAACATCACCCCATGGACCGATGACGACATAGATGTTTATGGTGGAGCCACCAAGGAATCCCTGGACCCCTGCCACGCTGCCCAGAGATCCCATCCCTCCAGCCCCAAACAGTGAAGGGGGAGGGGGTCGGCCAAGGGTGGTCAGGTTTGACCACCAGAAGTCTATTCTGGAGATTAAAGGCACATCATATTGAAGATTACAGTATATTTGTTTTCAGGATGGGATGCTTGCTGGTGAACTGAAAGACAGAGCTATTATGTTGTTAAGAGTGGTGTATCTGTTTTGTTTTTTGTGCTGCTGTCACGCTCATGTATTTACCTCTACAGTGAGTTTAGTCGCAGAACCGCTTTGCTGAAGGCTGCAGTAGTGGATCAACTTCTTGAACCAACAGGACTCTTATGGAACCATTCCATAACAGACTACTGGTACCACCCTCTGTTTTAGGTGATAATCTGTTTGGCCAGTTAGCCACACATGGTTGTTCAGGCAGAGGGCTTTGAAGGGTTTGGATAACTACGGAATGAACCTTTAATGATGCCATATCTAAGTGTTTCTTAATGTTACAGCAATGTGACAAAGTTCTGTCTTTTCTCATCTTATGTCCAATTGATTGTGTTTAACACTAAAACTGATTTCTGAGATCATGCTAATATTGATTTCTACAAAATGAGTTTTATTCATTTTAATTGTATATGATCTTGTTAAGTAATATCTCTGTACTCTAAGTTTTATATGTTGCATACCATCATTTGGTAAAACAGTGGTCTTAAAAATGCATATTGTGTAATGTATCTCTGCTAATGTTGCTCTGTTCCAGTCTGCTCCTCCTGCTGTAGCCTCTCACACACCTCACAGTTCGGCAAAGTTACTGTGCTCCTTTTTTAAATTAATTAATTCATTTTTTGCAACTTAAAAAGGAATGATCAACTGACCTCTGAAAGTAGCACCCATCAGACTGAACTTGTCACAAACCTGACTGAGATGGAATGTAATATGCATGAGAAATAGATTGGTTTCCCAGGCTACCCCGCACTCTGAAGCAGTGCAAGTTCTCTTTGGTATCTATTTGGTGTCATCACTACCACCTGTAAATTGCATTTCTGTCATATCTAAGAAAAACACACAGACATAAGGTTCTTTCTGGCTTACAGCACATCGAAATGGCCACATGTCCATCCTAAACATCACCAGATGGTAACTCTCTCACACTGCCTGATGAAGGCTAAAGGGTAGACAGTTCAATCACTCATTTGGAAAACAACTACAGCAAATTAGTGACTTTAACTCATGACCAACAGGAATCAGTTATATTTCTCAGAATTTACCACTTAATTTGTATTTTGGTTCATAACATGGAGACAGATGGGAGGTGCTAAATCTCTTCTGTGCAAGTTCAAAACGGACGTCATGGGAATCGTGTTTAGAGAAGGTAGAGCAAGCCACCCACACTGTGCAGGGCGAGGGTTGGATTTCTACTTTGGCCAACCACACCAAACATACTGTATATCCACTCAACACTGTGCAGCAAAGTGAAGTATGGTCAAAATACAATCATTGCTTGTGTTCACTTTTTACCTCAAGATTTCAGCCCCACATAGGATCTGACACCCTGTTGTAAAGTGCCTGTCTGGGCTCTCACGCCCGCAAAATAATCAGATGTCTCTGTTTTCTTCTTCATCGCCATCTCTTTCTTCTCTCACTCTCTCTTGCTTTTGGTTGTTGAAGGCTGTGACAGTGTTCTGCTTGTCCTTATTTGCATCTTCATGCATCTTCTATGGTATTGTTAAATAGATGGGTTAAAAAAATAAAATTATTATGACAACATTTCTGGGGTCATAGTATTTTAAAAAATGACATCAAAGAGAGGTGTGTGGCATTATTTTTGCTTTGGGGGCCAAAACCAGATGCTGGTCCCACCATTTAAATCCCAGATTATTAGAGTTAAGCAAGTAGTGGTTAGGGTTAAAGTTAAGTCTACAGGAAATTAATGTAAATCAATGCAGAGTCCTCACAAGGAGTGACAACAAATGTGTGTGTGCACATGAGCTCATCATATTGCAACAGATCATTTAGATTACACCTCGGCTGCAGACCTTCATGACCCTAACACACACACGTGTGTGATGTGTGTACTTGTATGGCAGTACATTGTGAGGACCTTGTGTGAGTTTTATGCCATGAGAGTGAGGACATTTTGGCTGGTCCTCACTTTTTGACTCTCCTTCAAAAGGTTATTTGGGGGTTAAGACTTGATTTTAGTGTTAAGTTTAGAATTAGGCTTAGTTTGGTCATGGTAAGGGCTGGTGTAGGCATTTATCTGTGATGGTTAAGGTTTGGGTAACTGGGCTGGGGGGATGCTATGTCAGTGAATATCCTTACAAAGATAGCTGTACAAACACATAGAGTACACACACTTGTATGTAGCCTAATCTCATTTAGCTGTAGTTTGATTAGCTGCATCTTTGCTGTCAGATCATTTTGCCTCTGACACGTGCCTGTATGTTAATATAGAGACAGAGAGGCGAGTGTTCAGCAGACTTCAAAGTCTGCTCCTTGATGCAGACATAATAGATTACTCATACATTTAACTAAGAGTCTTGATTCGTGACTGCTGATCTGCCCACATGCACAACATGCCTTGATGTTTCTTAGCTGAACTGTGATCTGATGTGTAGCCTCCCACTGATAACATTTCATATTATTATTTGCTCATATAGAATTGATTTACCCTGCGTGGTTTGGCTGCTGTAGCCATTGATCAATCAAAGAAAACCAATCACTCGGTCAATCAGTGATTGAATATGAGCAAGTCATCATCACACTCATTCGATTAGGTAATCAGAAGTGAGTCTTACAGTCGGTCGCTCAGTGGCTCATCCGGTGACTATTTTTTTCCACTGTTATTTTGCGATCCTTTGCTCCATCTCGGTGTTGATCTCACCTCTGTCACAGCTTGTTAGCAGAGCCACATGGGGTTTTCCTCTCACCTCCGCAGCTATCTGCTTCCTCTGCTGCTGAATTATAGATAAACCTAATTACCTCTCTCAGAGATGGGCAAACATTATGGAACTTCTTGTGTGACCCACTCACTGTCACACGCATCCACAAATACACCAACTCAAATATTCATTTTTCTCAACTTTTTCTCATCCCCTGCTGCACAGACACGTGCAGTGTGTCAGTCTTCCTCATGACTACAGAAACTACAAATGGTTTTTTTCTCACTGCACGGTTCGCTTCACTGACTGCCTCAGTCCGGTCACAGTTGTTACACATCCTCTACGTATACATTCTAGGTTCACTGTTGAACACTCACTCACTTTGAACTGCTTCACTCTGAAAACCTGTCATCTAATAGTCAGGCTTTTTTCATTCATTTTCATCATCATTATCACCCAGCCTCCTCTCATATTTACCACTAAATATTTACAACTTGTTTTACTCTCATGATGAATATTCTCCTCAAGGTTTTCATATCACCTCCTCCTCTCTTTTTTCTGTCTCGCTTCACCTGTTGGCACCTTTTCACCCTCTGTCAACACCTCCATCTCCTTTTCTCTATCTTTTTGCTTTGTTTTGACAGACTTTTCAACTTATCAACCGTTTGGCACTTTTCTCTGGGAGTCCCTCACCTGGGTATTCAATGCTTCCTCTGTCACTCATTCTTAGTGCATTATAAGATGTTACTTGATCAACCCTCACAACCCTCTTCAGGATAAGGGGTAAAGATAATGGATGGATGGGTGGATGAATAATTTGGTCATACACTTGCATAGCCTACACACAACACATTTCTCTAAAACACTTTAAACAAGACTAATTATTTCAATTCAACAGGTGGGCAAAATATAACAGTAACCAAAGTGAGCCAATTGCAAGAATCAAACCCCCGGCCAAACCATTTCATCACATAATGTGTTGCTGTGCAATTAGTTAATGACTCACTGCTTCTCTGAGCCAAAACACTCTTGAGAGAGGAGGATGTGGGAAGATGAGGTGCCACAACTTTATATTACAACATACCTGTGGTCAATAGCACTCTCTTCTGAATCAAGAAAGAGGGGTAGAAACAAAAACAGTGGACAAAGGGAAGAAGGGAAGAAAGACATCATGTGATCTGTCTGCCGGCCTCTCCAAAGACTGACTGATAATCCACAGTCTAATCCAAAAGGGAATCATTACTTCAGAGGCCGTAGGTACTGTAGCTGACTAATGTGTATATGTCAGCATCATCAACAAGCTAATGTTAGCTTTTCCACTTTGTACCTTTGTATTGATTTATTCTGGTTGCAGTTTAATCATTCCAACTGACTGCAACATTAGTATTTTGTTGTCCATTTAGGAGAAAACTGTACTTTCCTGGATTGGCAAAAAAAGTCATTTTGCTCAGTTTGTAAATTTTTCTTCAGTTTTGGTCTAGGCTACATGGTTCATTTATGTCTGACATAACCCTGCAAGCGATGTAGCCTTTTAGTAAGATGTTGTTAAAGTTTATGCCATCAACACAGCTAAAAGTAGGGAGTTGTTCAACATCCATCCATCCATTTTCCTCCACTTATCCGGGACCGGGTCGCGTGGGCAGCAGTCTAAGCAAAGATGCCCAGACTTCTCTTTCTCCAGACACTTCCTCCAGCTCTGCCGAGGCGTTCCCAGGCCAGCCGAGATACATAATCCCTCCAGCGTGTCCTGGTTGTTCAACATATAACATGAAATTTCTCATGTTTCACATACAACGCATGGTTACCTATGTGTGTCAAGTATGTAACATTGAACTTGATGCAATAGTGGCCTGAACATCAGTTCTTTATCAGTATTACTGGGAAAAAAACATTCCTCTATAATTTGTTTGTTACTGCTGATACATCCGCTACAAACAACATTAGACATACATTATGTATGCATATCTATCATATTTACTTGTGTAGTGTAGAAGAGAATTATTTATGTAGAGATGCTGCTTGCAAACCAATGATGGTAAGATGATGTCAGGGGGTAGGACTGGATAAGTCTGACTTCTTCCTACTCCATTCAAGCATGTACTAAGTATAAGCAAATTGATATTGGATTAGCATTTGTTGGATATGTGTAAAATTATGTGTGTTGATATATCAACTGTCTTTACATGCTTGAAAGAATAAATAAATCAAAATCAAATCAAATATCGCTGAAATGTAAACCTCATTATCTGACAATGTGTCACTGCAATGCCACTGAAAACCACGAGCACTATGGGCTCTATATTCTGTATACATTAGTTCTGGAGCTGGTTATTGCTGCTGTGCTACCTGACTGCCACAACTGTCTATGGCTGTCGTGACCACATATGACCTAGTTTCAAAGACAGGGCAGGAGGGGTAAAGAGAAGTGGATACTGTTTGAGTTTGTCTTGATTTTCACTTTGCCGTTAATGGTCAAAAAGTAGAGGGAGAAGTTAGTTAATGCAGCCTTAATGTAGGCCAGAATCAGTAAAGGGTTGATTAGGAAGTATAGAGTAAAGGTTTTACTCATACTCAGCCTGATAGACAGTAGTGCTGTTTTTAGAACAAACAGACAGGCCCACTGTGTTAGAACATAACTAAGTAGGATACATTTAACCTACTGAAGAACTGCATGAGTTACTTTTAGCCTTCTTCAATTTTAAGATACTTTTCCCTTCTTCTCCACCACAACATTTCTGAGACTAAATTTTGACATCTATATAATTTAAGAGTTTAACATACACACACACAAAAATATTATAAAATATTATTCAATTGTATAAAGTTTTGTACCATGGTTGATGTTCTAGATAGATAAAGCTAAGAGGAATTATTTTCGGTTGATTGACAACATCTGAGCCAATAGAAAGAAAGCTAGGTTGTAGTAGGCGGGACTTCCCTGTACGGACGTCCCTTGTTTAAAATGTCTCCTTAACAACCGAGCTGGGAGTCAAACAGCAGAAGTTTTCGCTGGATAAACGCTTGGTAAATAGCCACATTGTATGCTATTTTGCATTTATTAACTATCGGCAACACATTTTAACTCAGAATGATACCAACATGCATTAAAATTGTCCAGCTTTGGGCAGAAAATATCAACCGGTAGCATCAGCTGTTTGCTAACAAACAAGCTCAGCTAACTAGCTAGTTTAGGTTGGAAAACTTAGGATTGCTAACTTCACTGGTAATGTCTACACGCTAATCATTTTGTGAGACATCTGTGGATACTGTACAGAGAAGACAGTTCATTTTGGTGGAACGTTATGATAAGATATCTGTTGTAGCTCGTTAGCTAGCAGTGGCTAGGGATGTTAGCTAACCTAGTCTCCAGCCCAGTTGAAATGCTTTTCAAAGACACATGTATTAGGTGGGTTCATTCTCTGTAAACATGTAGAAAATGTCAATTTGCAGGAGTCGGAATGGCTGGAACTGGCGAGGGAAAGAAAGAAGAGGCCGACTATAAGAGACTGCACAGCTTTCCTCTTATTAGGGTAGGAAAGAATTGGCACAGTGCCTCTTGGTACAGGACCTGTTTGGGAGCAGCTCATTCTGCAATGACAACATCAACATGGCAATTTAGCTGTATCAAGTTCCTTTGCAGGCTGGGGGTTTAGTATGCATTGTTGTGTTGTATTGGCAGGGTGCATGTGAATTGGATGTGCACTGTGACTGAATCATAATTGTGGCAAGTCTGTGTGCCTGCTCAAATCTGTATCACCTTTACAGAACTATTAGATCAGAAGATGTAAGCAAACTTTGTAAAATGACACAGATCAATACATCCTCTGCTCATTCACTCACCACATCACAGTTAGCAAATGCAATTGTAACTGATTTATGGCTGAAACCATGAGTATGTGTACTCTAAGACTCTCATAGTTAATAGCTGTCTTTCATTACCATGCCTTTTGGTCACAGACAGGCACACAATAGATTCTTTGAAGGCATCTTTGCAAATTATAATATTAATGATTGTTAGGAGTTAATTATACTTTAGAATTTCTCAGGAAATTGTCCTGTTAGGAAACGAGGACACATGCTGTACACGGCTGATTCATAAAACTGAATTTCCCTGTTTCTGTACTATTTTATACAGACAATAGAAAACACACTATTTGCAAACAGAGATGGATGGAATAAAATCTAGCTCAAATTGAGGTAAAATTAGGTATTATATACTCTAAGCTTAGCAAACAAGAGCAGATGGGCTACACAGCAATACCTCTTAATGTGCAGATTTTTTAGATAGTCATTCCTGTATCAAAAGAAAATGGATGGCTAAAGAGAGATGTTCAAACTTGGACTTGTTTGCTCCAGCTGCTGTTGCTACTCTGCTGTGTCTGTATGATGTGTTCAGTGTGTGCTGCAGACATCAAGTGATGACAGCTTTTGTGTTACACTTTACACTTGGAGCATACAAATGAGCTTTTCCTTTACCTGTTTCTGAAGTTTCTCTACTATTCTAAAATAAGTATACTATACTTATTTTTTTATTTTTATTTCTTTCTAAAGCCAGAATGTTTATGTTTGTCATGTTCTTGTCTGTTGCAAACTCACATACTTGTATGTAGAGACAGATTCAGAGAGGAAAGTGTAGTCCCTTACAGCATTTGTTTGTCCTCAGCACACGGACATGCCAGAGGAAATGAGGGTTGAGACCATGGAGCTTTGTGTAACAGCCTGTGAAAAATTTGCCACCAACAATGAGGTAAGTGCGCATGACATCATACTTTCAGTCTTCTACATATATTTGTCTGCCATGCTGTGTCTATAGTGATGGTGAGGGAATGAAATCACACTGTTGGCAGCAGTACTGTGTCAGGACTTTGCTTTATTAACACTATAAGATCTATTTTTTAAATTGCTTGATCTCTTTCCCAGAGTGCAGCGAAGATGATCAAGGAGTCGATGGACAAGAAATTTGGCAGCTCGTGGCACGTGGTGATCGGTGAAGGCTTTGGCTTCGAGGTCACACACGAGGTGAAGAACCTGCTCTACATGTTCTTTGGAGGGAGCCTGGCCGTGTGCGTGTGGAAGTGCTCCTAGCAGCTCCCCTCTGACGAGGTCACTGGTCTGGGATTGAACACACCAGCCACCAGCCAGATGCTGGTTACATTTGTGTTGCGGCAGATCAGTTTGTCCACGCTGTCAGCCACTGTGGCAGATAATTGTTTGTGAATCTCATCCAGTTGAAAAATTTAGTTGGCAGAGAAGATACTTGAAAGGGGATTTTGAATGCAGCAGTCACTTTGGCTGGTGGGCATAAACAGAGCCCTGCCTTGTCCATCACAATTTTTTTCCCACTCTTCTTTTTCTCTGAAGCCGTATCCATGGTCCTAAACGTGTGAACATGCATGAGTAAGCAAGTTCAACTTTTACGAACACTACAGCCAGCCAGGGTCTCCAAAGTCCTTTATCCTCATTCAGGGAGTGCATGTGTGTGTGAGTGAATTTATATGTTTGTGTGTGCTGGACACACACTGTGTTTTTTTTAAATAACATTACATTGTCACCTCCCTCGGCAGGTTGTGCGACAGTAAACTGTCCGCGCCATCTCTGAGGTTTCACGCGTGTCTTTCTCTTTCTCAAGCCGCACTAGTCTTTCAATAAAATTTGTAATCTTTTTTATGTGTACATATTTTGATGCAACTTCTTTTTAAAGACCAGTGTCATGTTCTTATAACTAAAGGCTCAGCATCTCCTGAGCCAGAAAACACTAGGCCCAGTGCGCCTGTAAAGGTCTTTGTAATAATCTCTAATGATATCACCCTGTTGAGTGATATAGGCAATGTGATTGTTTTCATGTTTAAATGATCCAGTGATATGGACCATTATGTGTGAACCGACCGGGTTGTACAATAAACTCTGAAATTTGATGAAAGAGGAACATAAACTGTCACTGTGTTTTTCACAGCATTTGTTATTGGCACATCGGTTAGAATTGCATTCAGATGAGCAAATGCAATTTTTATGAACCTTGCAGGCAAAACGAATGGCTGCTGAGACGGGGGATTTCTGGCAAATTGAGGATAAATTGAAATGGAGAGAAGGGATTTGACATTGTGAAAAATAGTTAGGCAGTTATACAATCATTAGTGACAACATTGCCAGGGGTCACATGACACATTTGTCTCACATATCAGTGGATGTGGAATTTGAATGCCTGGTTTAAAAACAGGAAAGAGTAAAAATATATGTTAAAGGAAAAATATATGGGGCAGGAAAAAAGGTAAATAAGTGTTAGGCCCTTCTCAGGCTGGATGAGACAGGTTTTCTCTGAGAAAGTTGAAAAGTTATTTTCCTCTAAAGGAAACTGACTTATTTTGGGGGAAAGTTTCTCAAACTGTCAGTTCATTGTTCTTCAGTGTCTTTGTAAGGTTCTTTATTGAAACCAAATATACACTCAGCTGGTTTGGTTCTGTGGGTTTAGAGTTGTGCTAGGTAATAAGCTCCTGCACATATAAGCTTATAAATTATATGTTAAGGAAAGGCACTTGTGAGCAAGGCTTGCAATTCAGTTGTTTGCATCCAGTTCCTATCAGTATACGCTGCTTACCAAGGGGGTAGGTTTGGTAGAGACCTCCTCTTCAAGCGGACTCGGCACAGTGCCCGAGTCCAATACGCTTGTGTTCACACTGATCAAAATGAACTGGGCTTTGGGGTAAAGTGTACTGGGGTCCCGGACTGGGTCCCTAACATGAAACTACCCCTAAGAGTAGTCCACAGCAAACATAAAGAACAGCACGGGCGCTGCAGAGTTAGAAGCTGAGAGAAAGTTGTGTGTGTCTAGTTTAGAGAAAAAGCTAAAATATGAGGTGAAGCAGCGTTTTGACCCAGCAGTCAAGGGAAGGAAGGAAGGAGGCTGTCATTACTGACAGATGAGCAAAATTTGGCACCTCCAACCTGAACATTTGTGTACAGAAACACCATGACCTTGGTCAGCCTACACTCTGACCTCTCTAATGAGATAACTCTTGTCAACCCTCCTCTCACTATTACTCTTCTGTTGACACTGTTGCCACCTATATTTACAATTTGTCACAAAGTTCTCTTCTTGCACAGTCTAGTCACTGTGTACGTGCTTCACCTGATGGCTAAGCCACAGACCGAACATGCAGATATTGTTCGTAAAGGGAATTTTGGCAGCACAACACAAAATTTTCTTGTCCTCTGTGATACAGGTTTGAGAACTGTTGAATTACAAATCTTTCTTTGGCATTTCTCCATCCAATAACATTCTCCCTGAAATGATAAAAGTGGATTTGGCATAGATACACCCACATTTCCTAGGATTTCTGCCAGTATATTTCACCTGGATTCACCTGGTTGGCCTAATTCACATGAAGGAGCCTGCACATTCTGCAGTCATTGTACCAGCCCTCTGATTAATCCGGTGAGCCTTGTGTCAGTCAACATGTTTTTACACCGTGTTGCATCTCATTCATTATTCACCTCAGACAATCTTTATATATCTCTTCTCTCTCACTGTCTCTGCATTGTTAAATATTCATACAAAGAGCCACAGAGTCACACCAAAGACTGTTAGTTTGCTCACGCTCAACATTGGAAAGCTCTCTAGACAAGAAGTAGACTCATCATCCTGAAAAGGCTCCATGGAGCTTTATGAGAAGTTAGGGATACATTACCACATAAAGAACATTTCAAATATCATGCACACATGCTCCTTACAGTGACACAGGCGGCCTGCATGTTACTGACTTGTATAAGGTGTACTGCCTGGAGATCACTTGTAAATACAATACAATTTTATCTGCTGGGGTATTGGGGATGGCTACAGTGGTACAGCAACTGCCAAAGCTTCCACGTGTGATAGAAACAGGCAGTAGATAAAAAGGTCTGTTGATGTGGAAATAGGATAAATTGGTACTTAAACCGTTGAACTTCACAGACAATATTGTGCTATCACAGTGTGTCCTCGTTTGAAGCTTCTCTGTGCTGGATAAGCCGAGTGCTGTATCTTAGCAACCTTCTCACCACCTGCAATGATGAGTGGAAGGTTGGAGCATCCCTGCACATGTGTGTGTCAGTGAAAGACACAGGAGGTAAAAGAGAGGAGAAATCTGTAGGTGGTTAAAAATGTAGCTGCCGACAGAATTCAATAGCTGGTACTGGAAGAAGACTTATATATAATATTTATAATATACAGTAGATAAAAAGTGGGGTTTTGAGCATTTAGAGACTGAAACTTCACAGATTTCAACAGTCACTAAAGGATACAGAGCTAGAGAAGAACAGAGTGAACAATGCCAACAGTTAGAGATGGATGGCCTTTTTCATCTGAACATTGCTTGTAGCTTTTTTCTTTAACTGAGAAATGAGAAACACAATCCAACATTAAGGTGTCTTTCTATAGGTGTATGGTGAGGCAGCAGTAGCTGTGATTGTTTCATTAGCTTATCTCCAGACTGAAAAAAAGGGACTGTATGTTTTGGAAAAATGGAGGAGAGCAGTGAAATGTAGTGAGAGTAAAGAGGCAAGGGGGATAAAAGATGAGTCGTGTGTGTGGATGAAGCCACTTGTTTAAAAATACATCACAGACAAAAATAGTACAAGAGACAAAAAGTGAGTCACTAGCAAAAAGCAAAAGGACCAGGAGATGGGTTGCCGAGCTGAAGTAAGAAAAAGGAACCAGAGGATCGGAGGGGAAGAGTTTTGCTGGTGTTTGTTACCTTATTGATTCCACATATCACTATGCTGTAGGCTCCTTGAAAACTTTTTACTTCATCTGTAAAATATAAAGTAAGAAAATTAAAAAAAATACAAATTACATTTTGGCTCAGGGTCATAAAATATTATCTGCACTTTAAATCAAGAGGGAGCCAACAACTTTATAAAATTTCAAACTGTTCTGCGAGCTGCCGGGCTGAACAAAGAGGCTACCTCACTTAAATAAGCTGCAGGGCTGGAGAGTTCAAGCATGTAAGAATTTTAATAAGCAAATCACAGTTCCATTATCAGCATAATGCAAGGAATACAATGTTAATTATAGTGACAAAGCCAAGTCTTTCATGCACCAAGTGATGTTTACTGGGTGCTTTCTATCTGTATTTAAAGTGTCCTTGGGTTTTGTAGGAGGGATTTGAACTGTTTACTTGTTCACAGTCAGTGATTGCTGTGGCCAGGAGAGCAAACACACAGGCAACAAATTAAATAACAGACACCAGAGTCATTCAATGGAAGAGACTTATCCTTACAGATAATAACCAGTACTCTGTCTTTCAAAAATATAATCCATTTCCTCCCGTCTCCGACAAGTTTCACTCCCACTGTGGCTTCATTTGCATGGAGCTCCTGCTGCTGTCCAAAAATCCATGTTTTATGAGAGCAGATGAATCATGAATGAATATGACCACCTGCATGAATACAAAAAAATCCTGCACTGCATCTGTTCAAGTACCTATGTTCAGCTGGCAGAGATTAGTCAGACAGTTGTCTTTTAAGAAGGAGGGTGATTTTCTATCCATAGTCAATCTACACTATAGAGATGGGCATTACATTTTGTTAAGATCTTTCATGTGGATTATGTGAACACACATACAGGTGAAGTCAGAAGTTTCCATACACCTCAGCCAAATACATTTAAACTAAGTTTTCACAACTCCTGACATTTAATCCTATAAACATCGCCTGTCTCAGGTCACTTAGGATCACTACTTTAGTTCAAGAATGTGGAAATGTCAGAATAATAGTAGAGAGAAAGATTTATTTCAGCTTTTATTTCTTTGGTCAAGCACTGTTACCTCACAGCAAGAAAGTTTCCAGGCTCGAATCAAAGTCTCAGCATACGAAGCGTGTGCCTTGCCCACTGCCTGGTAGAAGTCTGCTTCCACAGTCCTGGATCATCGCCCACATTTCCTGAATTCACTTATTATGAACAATATGGTGGTTTTGTCTAAATATCAGGCTTTGACAAAATACAACTAATTCTACATTTAGATGACAAAAGACTAAAATGCTTTATTCTACAATGTCCAAATAAAAACAAGCTGTTCTTATGATGTTGTGTGTGGTGAAATTCTGTTGTACTGTTACTAAACTCTAGATTTCTGCTCTCATTATCTGTCCTATGGTGAGGCCACTATAAGCATAAGCATAAACTTTATTGCCAAGTATTTCAAGAACACAAGGAATTTGACTCCAGCTCAATGGCCCCCAATGTGCACAACAAAAAAACAAAATAAATACACAATATATACAAGTAAAAAAAAAATCACAAGTTAAAAGAGCAACATAGTCTAGCTACATGAACAAAAACAACAAAATCACACGGGAGCACACGTCTGAGGCAGCCCTGGTCGGCCCCATGATGCATCAGTGTGACAAGAAACGAGGCATGGTGTGTGTGGGAGACTGTTTCAAACAACTGCTGGAGGTAACAGTCTTTTCACTGGTGCTGCCCCTCATAAAAAATGCAGATTGAATGCCAATAATAGTCAAAGATGATTTACGGAGGGCAATTTTTAGTCTCTTGTATCATGAATGTCTTTGCCAGGTCAGACGGGTCAATGTGTGCCTGGGGACCAGAGTTTCCAGAATGTTAAAGATCTGGTGCTTCCAAAGACAGAACACTTTCCTCCACTGATGTTAGTAGAAGGGAATCAGAGTTGAAGGTTTCAGCTCCAGACAGAAAAAATGATTTTCTGCCTATAAAGTGCAGGCACTGAACTTTATTCAGAAATTGTTGAATTTACAGTAAGCACAGGAGTTTTGATTTCTTCTTAGCGATTAAACTCATGTTTAAAATTGAAACCAGCAACCATCCTACATTTTACATTGAGTATGTGGTCAAGTTGGTGGACATGTGTGTGTGCTGATGTTGCTCCTGAGTGTACAGTTGAAACCAACGCAGGCTGTGAGTCCGGCGCTGCTCGTTTGACATTAGATACATATTTAAGTTTTAATATTTTCTTCTTGTCAGGTGTGTCTCTCAGTCACTACAACTGTAGAAGAAGCTTCAGTTGACACACTTAAGTTATAAAAGTGGCTTCCTAAAACAGAATTTGATGGACACACTAACAACTGGACAAGACACGACAGATAAGCTGGCAGAAATGGAGCAGCATCAAAAGAGACGAGTAAACACATTGATCCACGTTCAGATCACTCTAACCTGGCACCTTTCTCTGTCAAACACATGTGTAAAAACTGACTGGATACTGTGTGGAGTCTGACCACAGTCAAGGGAGGACAGAAAGCATTTTCACCAGAAGGAGGCTGTGTGTAAGTTGCCTTTTGCTTTTCTCCATATGTGGTTTATACTGTCACTTATTTTGTTATATTACACAGCCTTATGCTGGTTTATTGTTTACGTGCCCCCTTGCATGGGGATATGTACATAGACATCGAGAGCTGATGTACCAGAGTCAGATTCCTTGTGTGTCCGACACAGCTGGCCAATAAAGATGATTCTGAGATTATGACTTCAGTAAATGGATTATGAGGAGTAGATCAATACTGACTTTTTGAAAAAGAGTATAGACAGCTTTCTAAATGCCTATATCAAGGCCATGTTTTTCATATGTCAGCGAAGGTTTGCTTGATGCTTTTACTTTGTGTTTTTATAACTCTACACCATATGGCTTCGCTCAAATTCTCCAACACTTTTTAAAAAATCTTTTAATCCACATTTCTTGCTTCCCTTCATGTGCTCACCTCTCCTGACCCTCTCTCTCATGCTTCTCTCTTTAGGAAGATGTGGCATATGCGCCGTCGCTCCAGGACAATCTGTCTAGTCTTGGCTTTCATCACCATTTCCCTCCATCTCCTCTTTGCGCTTGTTTCTTTTTCTATTAACCACCAGCCCTGTGACCCCCCACTAACACCCAGGACACATATCCTGAGAAACCTGGCAAACACCAACTACACCTCTGTGGGGATCAGTGGTCCGGCTCAGCCACCAACTGACTCCTCACAAAGAGATTCTTCCAATAAGGATGCCAAAGGTCGTGTGCAAATGCTTACAACCATTGTGAGTCGTTACAGCACCAACAGAAGTGAACTTTTGGAGTCTGGGTTGTCAAAACTGAAGGCGCTGTTTGACCATCCTCTTTGCAACATCCCGGGCTCTCCTATCCCTGAGGAAGACTGGCTGCTGAAAGTGATACCAAAGGTCAAGGCTAGTGAGAAAAGCTCCCAGATGTGGTCAGTATCTTACAATTCATGTGCAAAAAGCATTTGTGTAGGATTTGTCCTATGACATCATCTGACATCAGTCTCACAATCAAAAGTACCGTCTCAAAACTGCTTTCTGTAGTGAAACATACTTGTATTTGCTTTATATACCTTCATCTTATTTTCCTCTTACTCTTCATCCTGAGAAGAGTAATTAATTAAGTAGTTAATTGCCTTTGTTACTTTACTTAGTTTTACCATATTTCAGCTGCCATATTCATCTCATTATTAGTTTTATTATAGTTATTACAGTCAAAACATTACAAAACATATAAAGACAATAGCGTAGGGAAAATCTGTTAAAGCAAACTGCAATGTAAAGAGCGTGTGGATAAGATTACATGTAGTTTATTTTGCATATTTCTCTGAATTACACACACGTACAGTACATGCAAGAATTTCACCAGCTGGGTCGGAGCAGACTCGATCTCCTGTCAAGACTGGTTTATACCAGTGCTGCTGCCGTGGTCATCTGTGGTGTTTCAAAGTACTGTAGATACGCTGCCACTGTTTGTTAGTTAGGGTGTGCTGTCACAAGCCTAACCACAAAGGGAACAATGGGATGCAACGCCCTTGCAGACACCAGAAATATGACTGACTTTTGTGGAATGCTTTATATTTCCTGTGGCATCTTTCCCTCCCTTGCATGACCCATGATGTGCAGGATGATCTACAGTTTCTATTAATGATTGTCAAGAGCCAATTTATATCAAATGAATTAACTGAAGCACTTGTTGTTATGTATTTATTTTACAGTGCTGCTGGATAAATTGATGTTTTTTCCAGCAAATCCATTTCAGTGCAAATTATTGTAACATGATACTGACACACTCTTTTATCCCTTTTTCCTCCTTAACCTCACACCCCATCACTC